TCTACAACGCAGAATGTGTTTGCGTTATTCGTGACAATGCAATAAAGAGAGAAATGATAGACCAAAGCTTTGTGATCAACTTGCATTCACAAAAAAGAAAGCACAGGTACTTTAACACATCTCCATTCCAAGTGCTCTTTGTTGCTCGCCTGTGAGGAGTTTTCATTCCAGCATCAAAGTAAGAACAAACTTGGGCTTGACAAAGTTATTTTCTTCTTCATAATATGGTATTCATGACTCCAACTCCACTGCGTTAAAAGTGTAATACCTTTTTGTTGGCATGCTTTCTTTGGAATTGCCTTAGAAAATAACTGTTTATGGGAAATTTCTACTCATATTGTCTGTTATGCTCTATTTTTTTTCCTCTGATGCGCACTGAGAAAGAAAACCTTGTTCTTGTTTACTGCAGTTTTTCACAGAGAATAGGTCTTTGTCTGATACTTTTATGTTTTTCCTCCTTCAGGGAGTTTCTGTCAGGGAAACTATTCTTCCTGATGCAGCAGGGTTCTGGCAGTAGTCTTCAGCACATCCTTGCTCCCGTTAGGGTACGTTAGGCCTGCTGTTCTTAGAGCAGAGCTTAGCAGTCCTAAAAGGAAGATGGAGAGGTATAAGAAGAAATTTTTTTTTTTTTTTTTAGATCTGGCTCCGGTTACATTAAATATTAACTTTGAGCAATTCATGACTTCCTTTACCTAGAAACATACAGAAGAAAGGTTGATTCTGGTTATCTAGGTTCGTCATTTGATTAGCATAAATTCTGCTTGGAATCACTATTGCACTAGTAAGCTAAAACAAATGGAAAAAGCAACAGTCTGCTTGCTAACGGTATCATTTACAAGAAATACATTGTGTATATGATATAAAGACTGTACTTCATTCTACACTTGTTTCTAAGCGTAACTTGTGGTGATGATACAGACTTATCTACACAGAAATGAGGATTTTAGCATTTCTAAAGCAGACTTTTTTTTTTTGATAGTTTAGTACCTTTAGTGCAAGTATCTACCAGAGTAACCTTTTCAGATGTAACACACCAGTAACACTCTGTAACACTCTTCACTCACACAATTAAAAAAAATAGTCTCATTTTAAAATAGAGCTTCACATTCTGAAACACACTGTCTATTTCTGCTGAAGCTGTTGCGTGATTTGTGATTTAGTTATTTTAATTTTTCTCTTTGTAGCTAATGACATTCTGTTGAATTTCACGTAGTTAAACACTGTCTCCATCAGTTTTTTGCCATCAAGCTAAGTACTTTTCGGCTTCTTAAATTGATCAATGAGAAGGTTACAGGCAACCTTTTTTACAAGAGTTTGATTTGATGGTTTGATCTCGTTGATTTTTACAAATTAAGCAAAGATGAAAAATTCCTTACTGCATGCAGCAGTGTTCATAAACACCAGATTTAAAAGTTTGTTTGTTGTTGTTTTTTTGTTGTTCGTTTGTTTTGTTTTGCTAGAGCATGTTTGGTTTTCATCGTAAGCTTCAAAATGGCTTTTTTCTGGTTTATGAATTACTTTGGAACCTTCAACTGTGTCCTAGTACCCAAATACATGAACACTTTTGATTTTTCTAGATTATTTTGCATTTGCTTTTGGCAGTGTGGTAGAGAGATTGCATACAGATTCATTCAGAGAAGCAAAGGTCAGTCTCAAACTTAGAAAATTTTCAAATATGTAGTACGTTCTGTACCAACACTGCTTACTGCTTTTGTAAATTCACCAAAATGCATTATTTTGAACACTTTTCATTCCTAAATGAAAAGTTCTCAATTTCTACATTTCTACAATTTCTCTCAATTTCTCTATTGAGAAATATAGAAATTATAATTTCATTTTTAATTTCTATATTGCTTGCTATTTTTCTAGAACCATCAAAACTTATTATTTTGAGCATTTCTCGTTCCTGATTTCTAAATTGAGAGGGCATGCAAATATTAACTTTTTTGGTGAAATGATAGAACTTGGCCTTTAGAGAATTTAAGGATTGAATTTAAGACAGAAAAAAAAAATCCTAGCAGTTAGTATTGCTTATTCTCCTGCTCTCTGTTGCTTCTTCTCCTTCCTCCTGTCATTCTTTTTTTGTCTCTTTAGCTTTTTTTTGTGAACATTTTTGGAATGGGAAATACTATTTTTTGTTTTTCATTTGTAAAGCTGCAAATCTTGACACTTTATAAATTTATAACAGGATGTTCAACTATTTTACAATCTCTGAGCTGATAAATCCCTTAGAAAGAATATTTCAGTTGACTAGGATCTATTTAATAAAACGAGAAGCTGCAAGTTGCATCTGTATTACATGGACAGTTTACTTTTTACCTTTCTCTAATACTTTAATATACTGGAAGAATTCCCAGAACATCCAGAGTGCAACTCCTGTTAGTTGTCAAACAGTGTGTTTATTTTAGAAATGTGCCTGGTGATTTTTGCATAGGAACCTAAAAATGTGAAGGGTGCAATCATTTCTTATGCTTGAATTCAGGGGGAGTTTTTTTCTGTTTTTACTCTTTCAATATTCAGATTAAGGTTGGTCTAGTTCTTAATTAGGAATTGTTAGAATTGTATTTAACAATACACTGAAGATTCTACTGATCCCCAGAACTGACGAGATTGAATTGGTTAATAACTTCTGTTTTATATTCTGCTGTTATAGACTTGACTCGGTCTTCTGGTGCAGAAATCTATTTTGACTTCCATGTCCTTGAGACATAAAAAGTGAATCGGGCTGTTGTGTTTTTCTTAAGAACACCCAACATATTAAATGGATTACAGGTAACGTAAGAGAGAGGAAATAGCAGCCCGTATTCCTAAACACAGCTCGTCTGATGTTTTACTCTTGACAAATTAACCTTGGCTTCTGACTCCTAGCCTTGCAAATAATGATACCTTTCAAAAATGATAGAGCATTATTTTGAAACGATTATGCTTTTTTTTTTTCTTGAAATATTTTAACTTTCTGCAGCGTTGAAGTGGTAATGGTAATAGTGCAGGTTAGTATATTTGTGATTGATTTCTATAGGCTTAATTCATGGTAATCTGAGTACGGGTAAGTCCCTGACAAACAGGTAATCAGAGGTAAAATACCTCCTTTCTGACTTCTATTTCAAGATTAATGGACCACTTTTATAGCTGACTTCATATAGTCAGTCTAGACAGTCTAGTTATAAAAAAAAGTTTTACTTTTTTTCCTCCTACTAACTGAAATCAATACGGTGCTTAGGATAGTGGTGAATAATGATTTCTTTGTATCTGTGTAATCGCTATAGTATTCTTATTAATAGTATAAATGTCTCTCTTTTTCCAGTGCTTACAAAATAGCTACCTCCATGTATGGATAGTTGGTTCTTCTGCTGAATGTGCTTAGTTTTTAGGCATAGAGAATGAATATCCTCCTGCACTACTGGCATTTTTTTTTAACTCTTCCTGAAGAAGGATTCATGTGGCAATAAGTAAAATTCTGGTCTCTCTCAACTAGTAATTTTTGTAGTTTCTGAACTTGGGACTTGAAGTGCTTTTGTAAACATTATTTCCCTTTAAATATCCTTTTACAAGTCCTTCACATTTACACATTGACTTCAGCAGGTGTTCCATAAATTCAGATATTATGAGTCTTACATGTACAATAATTGATTAATTAAACATATTTGTTTCTTGCTCCTTAAATAATAGAAATGAGGAAGCCTACCTTATGTGAAACTAGTTTAGGGTTGCTGTCTTCTTTCTATCCTTTTAGCTCCTTCCTCCAAAATTCACACTTTACCATGCAAAAACTAAGAGGAGATACAGTTAAATAACCAAATGTGTCTGATACACTTGCCAGTTATCATTTCAGTCACACAGCTCCAAATTTTTCAGGATTTACCTTCTGAAGATAATTATTCTATTTTTTTCTGTTTGTTTTGCGTTTCGTTGTTTTACTCTCCATCAGGGAATTGTTTCTACAGTACAGCAATGCTGTATAGAGGAAGAGAAGTTTTCAACATAGGGAAAATATCCAAACTACCTACTTACAGGTCTACTTAAAGTATTTTGACAATATAATGCCTCAAATTTTGGTATATGGTCACAGTAAAGTGATGCAGCAAATGTCAACAAAATTTCCAATTCCATAATAATGAACCTCAGCCCATTCAGATTCAGAGCACCAAATCATCTTCTGATGCTTAAAATCATAGAATTACTTTTAAAAGTTATGTAGCTGTCATCGTTGCCCACCGTTTATATGAATAACTTTAGTGGCTACAACATTTTTCAGGATATAGGAGACCTTTATGGAGTTTGAGCTTGCATTTGCCACTTTCCACAAAAATATCTTATTAGGTAGACTAGGCTTGGTTTAGAAAACTTCTGCTGTTTCTATTGAGGATGACGCACCATGTGTCCTGGGATGCAAGACCCCATCCTAGGCATGCTAGATAAAATCTGACACTATCCCTATATCTGGGACATTCATCTCAGAGGAGCGATGGTCTCTACTTCTCTAAATTATTGCTGTTTATTAAACAGCACAAAGAACAGGTTGAAGAAGCCTCGAGCCTGTGTAGCTTTCCTACTGGCAAGTACTTTACCCAGTACCCTCAAGCAGAGGGTGGCTGCTTGCTGCTATTGCAACACGGTCTCTGGTTCCTGCAGGTAAGAGTGCAGGCAAAGTTCTGGCAATGCCATCTTTGAGCACATGTTTGCAAGGAGCATTTGGAGCAGAGGGGACGGGGGATCATTTTAATTATGAGATGGTAGGAGAACAGAAGGTTATGAAATAAATGAGTAAAACAAAAGATTAATTTTAAAATGCTTTTAGTTCTGGAACTATTCATAAGCATGTACGACTGTACTTTGTTGCAGATTTGTGCATCTCCAGTATCAAATGCAGGTTCTATCATCAGGAAATAAAGATTATTGCAATTGTGTGGACCTTGAGGAAAAAACAGAAATTCAAAACCAGAATTGTCTGTTTATTTGAGATTTTAAAAGAATATATTTAACGTATGGTGTATTTTCAGGTTGGATGAGTTAATTCAAAGATTTTTGGAAGATAATGATCCTGAAAGCACTCTAGATGTTGGTCCTGACATGCGCAAGATCAAGTATTGCTTCGTTCATATGAAGGTATATATTTAAAGCATATATGGAGGTACAGCTGACACTAGGAATATGAAGAAGACATTCACAGCTGAAAAATGTCAAAAGGAGTGCAGTGCAATTGAGAGTCATTGCAAAAGAGTAACACAATTTAGCAATGCTGTGAAGTGTGTGCTTAGAGACTGATACAAATTTGAAATCTAATTAGGAAAAAAGTGGCAGGATTGTGTAGAAACCCCAGCAAGATCTGAGCATGCAGTAAATAATAACAGAAAACTAGAAGCTACAGAAATTATCACAGATAATTGTAAATGAATAGAAGGATCCATCTATATTCTCAGGGCTGTGGAGGCTTTATTTTGGACAAGCTATGCTGAAAAAAAAACACAAGCATAAAGTTACTATATCCTGAATTTCTTTTACTGACTGTTTTGATGGTTGTGAGTCTTTCTAGACCATTGAGCAAGAAAGATATGAAAGAAAGCAGGAAGAACAAGTGAAATTGATAGAGAAAAAAAATGAATATAGTGTATTTTTTTCCTCTATTTTCTAGTTTTCCCATGTAGCGATGTGTACGGAAGTTCCTGACTTCCACTTATTGTCCTTAAGTTGTATGGTTAATGTATGGTTACTACTCAAAGCACAGTGTTATCAGAGTATAGTGCATTTTGTATATAGAAATGTTTAAGGAAATTGTATGCTTGTTAGTGAAGATGAACAGATTCAGCTTGCTCCAAGCTTAACCCAAAGCATATAACTTGGCAGTTAACTGGTGATATAGATTTCCTCTTTCAAGAGCCTAGAAAGACTTTTAACTTTGCTATGATAGCTAGACAGTGATACATAGTTTAATATAAAGTTAAATGACCTTTTTTTTTTTCACTTCTGTTAGCAGCTGATGAATCATTCAAAGATTTCTGAAGAAAAACTGCTCTCACAACATGTTTTGGAAGAAAAAGACACTAGCATACAAGTGGGAAAAGAGGAATTGAAACTGAAAGAAATTTTGCAGCAAAGAGACGGTGAAATCAGTATCCTTTGTGAGGAAAAGAAAATATTCAGGTTTGAGCTGATCTGCCTACAGCATTTTTTGTATGTATGTATGTATGCAATGGGAATTAGCTGTAGGAAAGGAATTATTCTCTGCTGGCTCCAATGTGTTAAAGCAATTACTCAATTTCCAACTTTTATGTGGTAGGACCCCTGCTTTGCACCTGCTTCTATTTCAGTTGCGACCCAAACCAAAATCCTGGATCCAAGCACCATTTAGCTTTAGAGAGTTCCAGCCAAGATCCAAGTACTGGACATGGGGCCATGCCTAGAACACTCTTCTCCATCTAACAAAACCTACTGTAGAATGGGAAACTATGATGCTATATAAAGAACAATTTATTGCCTTACAAAGAATAGAATTTCCTACAAGTGTTATTTTTAGCCAAATAAAGTGCTGCTTTGGGGCCTATTGGACTCTGTGCCTTTAGAATAAATATAAAACTTCTGCTCTTTGCGTGCAATTTTAAATTAAGACTGCCTCTTCTTACATATAAAAATACTAAGTTGTTCAGATGGGCTTTGTCCATTTTACTCCAGTAACTGCAGCATTGCAAAATGTAGGGAGTGAGTTATTTTTAGCTGGTTGACAGATCTGTGGGCAGACCACGGTATCACCGTGTCCCTAACTCTGTGGCTGCTTTGTGGGTAAAATTTGAATAATGTTAGAGAACTGAAAAAAGAAACTTTTAAGTTTATGCAGAGTAGAGATTCTTTTACAGATATTAGTAAAACAACAACAACAAAGCAGAAAAAAAAACCCCACTCAGTTTCATTCTTTCTATTTAACAATTCCAGGTCAATTTTATATGCCAAATATAAAGTGACAGGAAAGCTTCTTAGTTTCTACTTCATCTGTCACAGAAGATAAGGTGTTTGTTTTCCAAAGGATTCTTTCAAATAAATTTAGGTATAATCTTATTTATCATTTATTTTAAAAAGTCTTTAATATTAAGATCTGGACTCCGAAAAGCATTTGTTCCTGAAGTAAATTGTTTAATTGATGTGATATTGATAATGAAACAACAGCAAAATAACTCTTTAATTGCCAAATGAACTTGTGCTTGATAGCTATGACTTTCTTTGCCAAAGTACAAGCAAGAAGCTTGTTGCTGAAATCTACATTATTTCGAGATACACGGGAGAAATTTAAGAATTAAGAACTGGAACAGAAAACTAATTTACAGAAAGAAAATGAATATTAGGAAAATAAATATTAGAAAATCAATATAATGACTGGTGTGAAAGAGGAGTGATCTAGCAGCAAATGAAATATGGAGAGGTTGTGGAGTCTCCTTCTCTGGAGATCTTCAAAACCCGCTTGGACGCAGTCCTGTGCCACGTGCTCTAGGTGACCCTGCGTGTGCAGAGGGGTTGGACTAGATGACCTCTAGAGGTCCCTTCCAACCTTAAGCATTCTGTGATTCTGTGATTCTGTGAGAAGTGTGGAAATTATGTAGGCATTGAGCTATGAATTTCTTCTTGTCTGTGGTAGCTGGCAGCCAATCATAATGACTACTTTGCAAAGTGTTGTTATTATTGCTACTTAGTCTTGTAAATATGCTGAAGATTGCCTAGATTTTCAGCTGTTCATGTAGGATTAAAACAAAAAGTGCATTAAAAAAATATGCAAGAAGTCATGTGGTTTTTGCAGCATGCAGACAGGATTTTCATTTTATGCTGTTGAGCAGAATGAATTTTTACCAAAGTAGTCTTCAAGTAAATACACAGCATTACTGGTGGATATTTCCTAAATACTGGTTCTCATTTTAGTGAACTTTCTTTTTGTGAAAAGCTTACAGATACACTTGCCAATATGCTTTTAAGGTTTTTTTTTTTCCTTCGCTCAGAAATTGTTTATTATAGAATTTAAAAGAAAAAAAAAAAGGAAGGTCACAAATGGCTGTAAATTACTGGAGATGTCACTCTGATTTGTCTATAAGCTACTATATTTGGCTACTTTTATCAAAGAATTGATTAAATGGGATCAACAATTGTGATCAATGTGTGAATTTGTTCGTGCTCAGGGAAAATGAATCTGCTGTTTCAAAAAACAAAGGCAAGTGAATATAATTACAAAGAATATTCCCAAATCCAAATTCACATTTGCTTAAATAAGCTTCCTATGTGAATTGTTCCGCTTGAATAAGAAAGACTTATTTAACCTTCTGGTTTAACACAGGTGATTGTTGCCTTAATAGGAAAGAGATCCTTGGTTAATTCCTTAGTATATCTTGCAGATATTCTTGTAAATATGCTTAAAAAGGAAAAAAAGAAAGCACAAGATGCTCTTTTTCAGCTTAATGCTGTCGCGAGTGGTTCTAACGTCCTGGATCAGTCTCTTTCTATAAATCTGGAAGAACGTCGGAGCCCGTCTAGTTGTGCTCATCTGAAAGAAGCAAAAGATTTCAGCTGTTCCGTTCGCAGACTGCCTTTTCTTTCCAGACAAATAGGTTAGTACAAGTATTTAAGGAGCGCTTACTGGATTATTGCAATACGAAGCAAAAGATTTCAGCTGTTCCGTTCACAGACTGCCTTTTCTTTCCAGACAAACAGGTTAGTACAAGTATTTAAGGGAGCGCTTACTGGATTATTGCAATATGATCTTCAACATTCAAATGTATAATGGAATAAGAAAGTTTTTATTTCCAGTATCAGCAATATTATGCTAGTTTTGTATCCACAAATCCCTCTCAGCATGTTGGTGGATTTTACAGACTAATGTGAATCCTGTGTTGAACAGGCCTCTAAAACGAGAATATCAATTGAGTTTCAGACCCTCATATCTGCAAGTAAATCTATTTTTAAAAATGATTTTTAAATATAGGTCATAAAACATACTAAGAAATAACATTTTTGTCCATAGAAGTTTGAATGTATGGACTTTTAACAGAAAAAAAACCTTAATCACAACACTAGCTGTGATTTAAAAACGCTTTCTTATTGCTGTCAATATGGCCCATGTTTCCCCTTTCAAACATTTTGTGTAAAAATAAAATTAGGTGGTACTCACAGTTCACTAGAGACTGTGTATGATGTGTGAGGTCTCAAAATATTCAACAAAGATAGTGAAAAGTTATGAAATTCTAGTTTATTTTATTCTTTATTTTACTGAGATAATGAGAAAGCTCCAGTGCTGCGAAGAGCCATATTATTCTCATAGCAGTAGACAGAGTGTTTTTATATTGCTGTGTGTGTTCTGTTATTCTGTGCAATTCTGGTATGTGTTAAGGAACAATGATTCTATTTGTATCCTGAGTTAATCTTGGTTACTTTGCTGTTTTGGCTCTATCAGCTCTTACCATTGGAGTTTCTTTTACTTTTATGCTAACAGTATTTGTTTGTTTGTTTTTAAAAAAAGTTGGCATAAGGAAACTCTTTGTGTTTTTGATTGAAGGGCCAACGAGTATATACACTGTATAGACAATGAGTCTATACAGTAAATATTTTAATTGTTATGCTATAATGAGAATGTAAGTACATAGCACATCATAGCATCTGAAAACATTATTATGAAAATGCACTAGCTATAAAAGGCTGTTTTTAAGTAGATATGCATAAATAGCTAGTAGTATTTATATCCATCCAGTCTATTCATCATTCAGAGTGAAAATTTTACTTATACCATATACAGCATTACAGTATACAGCTTTTGTATACTGAAACACTAAATAATAGCTAAAACTAAAATAATATATATTAGTTCCTTAAAAATGTTGGATTGCAGATCAACTGTTCATGATTGGAAAATCCAAATCTAAATACTGTTAATAAAAGCTGATGAAGATGTGCTTGTATTAAATTGATGTAGCTGAATGTATTGCAGCTCTCATGACCATGAATTCTCTGATTGAATCATTTTCTTTAGGTTCTTAGCTAGTCTTTTTGCAGCAGAAAGGGAGGGGTTCAAAGTCACTAGCTTTTTAGATCATAAAACCATCTGAATCTGCTTAAACTTCTAATGTTGGATTACAAAAGATGGGCAGTGCCCTGGTTTTAAATCCTTATCTACACTTTATAGTTGAGAAAAGCAGTTTTCATTATTTAAATAAACAACAAAATGCTTTTTTTTCTGGCAGAAAAGTAATGATTAAAGTAATGGTTAATGATTTGAGTGACTTTTGTTTTCTACTACCTGTTATGAAAATTTCCAAATAGTGAAAGTGCTTGCTTTTGAAACAATCCATTTTAGGTTAGATTCCAATATTCTGAAATGATATTCACATGGACATGAAAGGTCCTCAATAACCAAAATTCTCAATGTGAACATGAAAATGAAAACCTCCTCCAGGGTCACTTGTTAATTTTCTTTGTTGTTGTTATATTGCTCTAAGCTCTATGTATAAATAAAACATTATTTTTAGGCATTGCATGGATAACCATTACTGTAAATGACTATGTATGTTGAACTGCATTACTTGACTAGTTTGATATTCAGCTTCAAGTCTAAGCAAGTCATGTTGTCAGCCTATGGATTTCTGTCACGTGTAGCTGTTATAATGGTAATGTCTTATATAATTATTTCTTGAAAGCTTTCTGCGTTTGTTCTGGGAAATGCTTTAGAGCTAGTTACAACATAAAAATTAATAAGAACATTGTTAATAGTACAATCTGTACAGACCTGGCAGTGTGCCTTAAATCCACCCGTGGGAGACCACTTGTCTTTGCTAGAATCAGATGAAATTAATTCCCTGTGTCTCTACTGAGAATAATTGCATTTTCTCCTTACAGTAAAAATAACTTTATTTTACTCTTTGTTCGATTTCTAAAAGTTCCTAAATATCAGATTTCACTTGCACTTATCTCCAGTGATAGGAAATCTAGGTGAGTTCTATAGCAGAACCTTTTTTCTGGTTCACAGTGGGTATTTCAGATAATCTCCTGAATTATCCAGCACTGCCATACACACTGCCACTTATCATACAAAAGGCAAGATGAGATGCAAATGTGTGTTTTTTTTTTTCCGGTGATCTCCTATAAACCGGAGAGAGGCTGAGAATTTGTTTGGGAAGTCCTGTCTTACAGCTTTTCCAGTTTCTGTATAGAATCCCCTTTCATATTGCTTCTTTTCATCCCAAGTTGCTCAGCAGTTGAGAACATCTCTTGGGCTGCTACTTTTGCTATTTATCATGCTCCTTGTTCCCTGTTTTATAGAAAGCTGTTACTTGATTTGGTGTCATAATGATACTGACGGAATGGAATTATTTCCTCATAACACATAACTTTTGGTAATATCAGAAATGTGTAGGCAAAAAACAACTGTACTTTATCAGTAAATGACTAGTACAATTACATCTTTTATGTAATGTTGTTTATTCTTCAGTGTTAACAAATTCTCTGCCTTGATATTATACTCTCACTTCTTACGCACAATTGTGTGAGTATGTGAGACTGTTCTTTGAACCTGGTTCTGGGAACTAGAATGTCAGCTCAAATGACTGGATCAGTGAGCTCTGTCTCCTTCATTCTGCTTTGGCAAAGACTGATATTTCAGAAAAAGATTAGACGATGATGGTCTTTGAATTATGTCCTGACATTTCATTAGCCATGAAGGGAAAAAGAGAAGTGGACATGAGGCACAATTCGTACATATTACAAACCTGCAAATAATATTCATAATTATAAAGCTATCTATTTAATATAAAATCCATCTGAACTGTGTATACATATATATCCTTGTCTGTAGTCATTAAGGAACTGCTAAAGCTGTGCAAAAGAGCTTGGACCTGAAAAGATGATGTGGAAATCCCAAGTAGAACCTTCAGTGTAATATTAAAGCTATCCTTCCTCATTTAAACACTTTTCATACCTTACATCATTTATGAAGATTGCAATTTAAAGCATGTAGGATATCTCGTTCTTTAACTATTTCAACAGCTTAATTAGTTTGCAAGCTTTCTCTTTTAATTCTGTTGCCTCAACTGTACAATCAGCTAGTTTTAATGCAACAATAAGTGATGATTCTAAAGCCTTGCAGAACGCTTAACTAAGTAATCTTAATGTTATTTACCAATACTATTCTAAACTGAAAATGTCAGATACATGCAATATTTTCCATTAAATATCAACTTGTGAGTAGCTGATTTCATATGAAATGGATTTTTTTTTCTGATCAGAAACGTCTTTAACTTTTTATTTAAATGTTTCTGTAGCTCAGGGCTGATATTTGGTATTTTTCAGTGTGTGTCAGTCTGTTTCAGGGACTTCTCCTTGGTGTTAAGAGCAGAGGAATATTCAACTGTGGTGCCCTAGCAATGGCAGAGGTTTTGCTGATGACAGTGGGTTACAAGTCCATCTGAAAATTAGACATTTATGTGCTGACCAATTTGTTGGTTTTGGATCCCTAGAGGCTTATTTTAGGAGAGAGTGGTAGGTATCATTCGGCTCTGATTAGGCAGCAGAGCAGCAGTATTTATTTAGACTGGAAGGTTGCCATCGGCAGCTGACATTTAGTTAGACAGGCCAGCTCCTGTCACTGAAGAGGCTTCACAGGTTGCAAAAGACGGTCAGTTTAGAGTGAACAGACCAGGATATTTTAGATCAGTCCAGCTGTTATGCTGTGACAGAGGAGAACTTATTTTGTAATACTCATTTTAATCAGAGTACTGTAAATCACAAATACATAACTGCATGAGGAAGAGTGAGCAAAACTGCAACGTAGTAGCTGGGCTGGATGTCTGCTATTATTTATTGCAGCAGGATATCTTTCATAAATCTGAAACAGACATAACTCTTTGGCTATGAATGTAATTAATGTTTCAGATGAGCATTCCAGAAAATGCAAAGATAAATCATTGGCACAATAAACCGAGTTTTACAAAGGCTTAACCATTTTTATATTAAATCACAATAATCTTGTTTATTTTAAAGTTTGTACTTTAGTTCTGATTTTATTCATATCTACTGCAGTCCTTGTCTGTGAATTCTGATTGCCAATATAGAGCTACATATCATCTTTCTGATCGTATGAGGACATTATTATAAACTGATAGTTTGAGGATGAAGTAAGAGTGAACCTAGCAAAGTAAAAAAAAGTCAGACTTCATCATGCATGTGACTGGAGTGACTAATACTGTGTTGAATTTGACTTTTAGTGTATACTAACATTTTTCCCATATAGATAAGTCTTATTTTGAAATGGTCCTCAGACTTCTGCTTGCTTGTAGCATAATTCTGTCAGAGAGAGAGACATATGCTATCATTTTTCCTCCTGCTGGATTTATTTTACTCCTGAAATATAAACAACTTAGTTACCAGAAAACAGTGCGAATATTGTGACATTCAAAGAACACAATAAATCTTGGTAATAGCTTCAAATAGTTATATTTGCTGATGGGCTTGAGAGGGACTCTCTCTCTCTCTCTCTCTCTCTCTCTCACACACACACACACACACACACACACAAATTATTAGGATCATGTTTTGACCATATTTGCAATTTCTCTATCTTTCA